TATTATTATCATTATTATTATTACTGCTATTATTATTGATATTCAATTGGAATGATTATTGTAACGTTTTTTGTTAGCTGCACATTCCAGAAGTATCAGTATCGCAGATGTAAGCTAGCAGTCGAAGTATAATGAAGACTAATCCAAACCAATGATATTCAAATGTCACGTGTCAACTGGACGAGAAAAAAAACCTTCCCCTCCAACAGCACTCTTACTCTTACCCGAAGCAAAGAGAGATTGTCGCCTCTGAACAAAAGAGTCCAGCTCGTTCCATCCACTTCCCTGAATCTGATCACACTGGAGACCTTGAAACAAAAACAGGAGCATAACATTGCACTTGATAGTAACTATATCTGACAACGACTGGTTGTTAGTAATCATTTTTAAAAACCCATTTGACTTGTGAGGCAGCGTGGTGAAATCAGGCGCTCGTCAAAATTTATAATGGAATTGAAGAAACTCGCATTTTTTTTTCGTCAGTTTGGCAATTTTTATCTAATTTTTATTCTTTGGCTCAGCACTTCTACGAATACTCGTCTGTGTGGATTTTATTGAAAGCCTTGATTAATAAGGGCCAAAAAAAAGAGGGTAAATTTTCAGTTTCCTCGGACTCTCACTCTCAAGCTATAGCCACACTTTGGCTGGCATGTTCTCGCTAATTTCACCTTTGAAACCAGGGGACCCCCACCTCCTTCAATCGCAAATATCTCGACTTGTATTCTAGATAAATGGGTAAATTTTTCATCAAAAGCAAGACAATTGAACAAGCTTTAAGATGATACGAATAACTCCACATTCCCACAAAATGACGAGTGCCTGATTCCTTCACGTCATGACACATTTACAGATTCCAAAAACAGCACCAACAAACACAGGTCTATTGAGAGAGCTTGGGGCAAAATTAAGCCAAATAATGAGGATGAGACAGCTTGTAAATATGAATCTCTTTTCATGTAAAGGCTCACATAAATTCACAATAATTCCTGTAAAAAATTCTTTTGGTCAGCCTATCCTTTCTAAATTACCCCCTCCCCCAACCCCCGAGTCCTCCAAGATGAATTAGAGAGGGCTTAAGTGCTATCATTCTTAGATTTCCATTTAGGCTTGGCTAGGAAACAAACCTTCAATCACATTATAATTATATGGAGGGATCAGATGCTTGAACTACTCAACCACAAACGTCCCACCCTTAAACTAATTGAGATGATATAAGGAGAAGATTGGCTTTGCTTATTACCACTGGGTTGATGAACTTTTCGATTGAGGACGTCCGAGGTCGTCTGGCCATCAGGATCACCAGGGCCACCCTTTCCCAGCCGTTGACCTTTACCCTTGTCCCCGTCCCTGTCCTCCTCCAAACACCCATGTCTGTCCGCTGGTGAAGTCGGAGATGTCCACTCTATAGAAGACTCCCCAAGGTCCCACACAGCCTCATCCTCTGGGCCGAGGTCACCATTCTTAATAACTTTTGCAATATTGCGATTGTTCTGGAAGTCGCAAATTTCATCTGAACTCCTAAATTTGTTTTTGGGTCTACCATTAGAAAAATGAGCCATCTCCAACATTCCTTTATGATGAAAACCACGAGTTGTATCCACTGAGACGTTAGAGTTGGATTTCCCCTGGGCGTTATGGTTCTTTCCTGGAATAGACACGCTGGTAGTAGTAGTGGTTTCAGATGGTCCTTTTGCAGGAACGTGTGAGCGGGGAGTCCTCCTATTGGCGAACTTCTCACTGTCTTTACAGGAAGGATTGTGACTATTATGGCTTAATGATGATTCCGGGGGCTCCCCGCTCCACAAGTCGTCCATGCAGATGACGTCGGAGGCCGAGTCATTGTCACACTCGCCACAGTCAACCGTGTGATCGCTACAGTCATCATCCAGCTCACACGAGTCAGGCGCTGGTGGTTCAGACGAGCCAACGCCTGCTATCTTCGGGGTTTCTGACTTTTTAAAAGCAAACTTCTGCAGGCTGATCCTCCCTGAACCCTGCAACAGAGAGGGAAAGAAAAAAGAAAATGGGAGACAAAATTTTAGCTTAGGCAGGGCTTTTTACGTTCTAATGTTTACAGAGCCAGAAACTCAACGCAAGAATAAAGACATTCTGAAATAACACATCTTGTTACCACAACAACGGAGTCTGAATACCTGCCTGAATACAGCTGAACCTGCTCTAACGGCCACCTGTCTATAAGACAATCACCTGTACAAACAGCCATTTTTCATTTCCTCCCTTGCGTTTAAAAATATCCCACAACACATTATAACGATACTGTGTTAGACTACCATCAGTCTTAGACAACCGCCTTTCTTCCCTGCAACGGGTGGCCTTCTTAGACAACTCTGACCGTATTACTATGTGCTGATACTAAAAATCTGTTCATCGGCTTCTGATTCTTGGCAGTAAATAGGCATTAACGCTCACATCAAGAGAAGCATTCAACCACAATCATAGGAAAAAGGAGATAACTTGCAACTGAGCACTTGGCTTAGTCTACATTAGTCTGGGGTTGAGGCACAAGTTATGAACTTGGCAGATACACATTATATTACCTCACAGGTTCTTCTCTGAGTGCTTTCTGCGTTTTCTGGAAATTTTGTGAAACTTCCTCTCACTCTCACCCGCACTACTGAATAACATATTCGATAGAGTACCAAATAACGTACCAAATAATCTATTCTGTAAGAAAGAAACAGAAACTAACACATTTCCAAAACTTCTCGAGATTACATGAAAAGAGCCGTGTTTCCTCATGAGGGCGTAGGCCTCCCTCACGTCCTTGGTCTGCTGCGGGAAGTAAGACTCCACCCTGGCCTGTTTGTTGCCCTGACCCTCCGCCATGTCCACAGCCGCTCTCCTCTTGGGCTTACAGCACTTGTGGCCACAGGACGACTTGTCTACACACCTGTGCTGGCAGCTCCCGCCTGTGGCTTTCTGTGTAGCTGAGGGAACAACCGAAGAGAAAGAAGGAAAAGGAACATTGGGGG